ACGCGCACACGCGGTCACGCGCACACGCTCTCACGCGCACACGCGGTCACGCGCACACGCTCTCACGCTCTCACGCTCTCACGCGCACACGCGCACACGCTCTCACGCTCTCACGCGCACACGCGCTCACGCTCTCACGCGCTCACGCTCGCTCACGCTCGCTCACGCTCGCTCACGCTCGCTCACGCTCGCTCACGCTCTCTTGCTCTCTCGCTCTCTCTCGCTGGCACTCTCAATTTTAGCAATAGTAATTCCTCTTTCACCTCTAAAGCAAAGAAATTATCCACAAAAATGTAATAATACTTCAGTCAGATTTCAGAGTGTCAATTAAGAGAAAATAATTTTAAATCGAAAGTATCTTGATTTCGGAAACGTATATTTAAGAGAGCAATAATTGCTTAAACTTCCTACGTTCAGGTTAGGTTTAACAAAGTCTAAGCTGTCAGTAAGCGAGAATTAACGTATGGAGACTTGAGCTTTATACAACAAATAACAAAAACAAATAAGTCGTCATTCAAAAATAGTAGTGGCAAATATATTTATATAAAGCAGAATTAGAAAGAAAGTAAATATGAAATATTAATAAGTAGTAAAGAAATAACTTATGTTGAAAACGTATTTTGTATGGTCATATTTTCCCACTTTGCGTCACTTCACCTTGCGCGGGTACATCCCTTTATGGAGTTGGAGGAGAAAAAAGAGCGGATTCAGAGGAAGTTTCCCAGGCTCTCATAAACGCCGGGCATCCCAGGCAGGCAAGTAGCTCGTTCGAATTCGGTTTGATATGCCTGCACTAGGCAACGGTGCCCAGCCTCACTACGAGTTGTGTGTGTTCCTCCACGAACTCGCATTCTGAAGGAAATATGAGTCCCACAGCTTTCGTGCGCTCCAGTTTTACCCGCGAAGTTTTTCGACACACGCGCACGTGTGCCCGTACGGATACAACTGGAACAAAGTCCGCGTGTGTGATCTTTCAGCGGGTCGCAGGTGATCAAGATGAAAGGCTACACGTCCTGGGCCATTGCTCTCTCCGTGTCTGCCCTGGCGCGCTCCATTCTCTTCCACATGGGCCACACGTGCGCCGTCTCCACCGCAGCCAAGGTGAGGGTGCCCCGCGCCACTGCACCGCCCGCGACTCTCGTCCTATAGCGTCGGCGCTCAATGATAGAGGCATACGGCAGAGGTGCTACAGCAGCACACACATTGGTCCGAAGATTGTCATTTCGCGGGAGATCGGTTTTATCCTGAACGGAACAGATTTTTTCGTGACCGTATTCAATTCTATTCAATGGCTGACGTGTTTCTTTCCTTGTGCACCAACGTCGTAATAGAACTATATGAGCGAATAATAATCTCTCTTATCAACCTTCGTTTCTTTCCCGTAGTTGCCTATAGTAAATAATTGTAATAATTGCCAGTCACAGATAGTAACATTTTAATTTTGGAGCAGGACTGTCGATCGAGGCATTCAAATAATTTAAATGATTATCAGATATTTGCTTGGTGTAGCAGTAAAGCGAACAGGGAGGATAATGCTTTTTAAGTCCAGGAGTACGATGATATAGGAATCGTAATTTAAAATGTTTGATATCGGTAACCTTTTGTTTGTTAAAAAGAAAGCGATTCTATGAAGTGGCATATATACACTAATGGAGGGGATTTCGCACGTTGGAGGGAGAAGAGTTATGAACTACCCGCAAACTGCGGCGACTTGCTTTTGAATTCTAGGAAAATGTTCATTCCAGTTAATACTTTTGCATAATAAAATAAAATGTGAAGGTTTCTGAAGCAGTTGCAGACATGTGCAACAAACACTTTTGTTACTTATTGATTCTCAGATTCTATAGCATTCACTTCAACATAAACATGTTTTGTATTATTTGAGTTGTGTTAAAGCTATTAGCTCGTTCGTTGTCTTTTGGCAGCAAGGTTTGTGAAAATGGCGACAAACGCGAGTTGCAATCAAACTGCCATATGCTGTTCGTTCCGCGCAACTCACAAGTTTCGTAAGCCCGTAGAGATGCTGCATGCAATCGAGATTTATTATTAGCTCTTCAAACTTCGGCTTGTGCAGACACAAAAGCGTGCGTATAGAAATACTTTCTGGGAGGAACGGTGCCTTGTTGAAGGCCACTGAATGAACGTGACTTGATCTGCGCGTTCACGAAGCCATTTTGGGGTTCTGTGAAAATCAGATGATGTATGATCTTTGAATGAAATGTTAGATACAATATAGTGAGTCCAAGGTCATAGTTCGTTTCGAAATATTTTTCGTTTATTTGGATGAAAGTAAGTATCTACTTTTTTATTATAGGGTTATTATGGCATCGATAAGGATGTGTTCTTATCCTTACCTTGCGTACTGGGAGAAAATGGAATTTCAAAAATTATAAAACTGCCGCTGACCGAGGAGGAGACTTGCCGATTGAAGAAGTCGGCTGACGTTATCTGCGAGGTGCAGAGCAGCGTTCAACTCTGAATAGTTTCACGGCAATGTCTTCAGAAGCGGTGCTATCTACTTTTGTTCATTTTAAGATGTAATTTTATTTTTTAAATACATAATTTTGTTATATAATTGAAATATATTATTTATTTTTGCGTTGTTTAATGCTTGGACTTGCGAAAACTCTTGTATTGCATTGATTAATTGAATATTTAGTGTTTCCGCGCTCGTCAAATGGTTTCGTTGGCTCCGTATGTGAAGTGCATGTTGAACTCGTTAGGTGGGGAGTTTTTCCGTACTGCTAGGATGTGAAATCCGGTGACGCCCACACCCCGGCTTGCGTGGTTTTTTCTTCTCTCCCCAGCCAGGTTAAACTAAATGTATATATTCAACATCAAATGCCATGAAAGTAGTATGTAATAAAGCTGATAATGATAATCAGTTCCTGAAACTTAATTAAAAAAATAAACTAAATAGAATTGAACAAAAAAGAGAATATTTCGTACTGATTGTTTAACTTCTTTATCCACCTTTTTTATCTATGTAAGTTCTCGAAAGCTTATAGTGACTAACAAAACACAATCATACTGGATCATATTGAAATATTAAAATAAATATTTGCCATTTCGCGCTCTTGAGAGAGAGAGAGAGAGAGAGAGAGAGAGAGAGAGAGAGAGAAAGAGAGAGAGAGAAAAGAGAGAAGAGAGGGGGAGAGAGAAGAGTGGAGAGATAGAGGAGGGGGGGAGAGAGAGGGAGAGAGGGCTGTATTACGAGGAATAACGTATCGGCTCTTACCATCAGCTGTGCGCTCATTGATTTCACTGTGCACAATTGGTGGGGGGATTAACACGTAAAAATGATTCACATTTATTTCCTAAATATTAGCTTATTTGTAATTAGTTCGATTTACTCCCTATTATTCTAGTTATTCCTCCAACTGGAGAATGTTTGCATATTATAGTATTTATAAAGGCACAATGCAAGGAACGTACATTTTTAAACTGCCTTTTTAATAAATAGTATTATTCTCTTGCATAGATTTGTGATTAAAATACATAAAAATCCACAACCTATGAACTGATTATCTTACAACTTTCCGTAGTGGAAGTGTGCTGTTATATTTAAATGAAAACGTTTATCTGGACATTACTCTACCTATCAAAAAACAATTGCAAACTTACTTTTCGACTTTTTCTTTTTCAAAACATATAGTACTATTAAGTACTGTGGGGAATACAAGAGAGAGACAATGTTCTCACATATGTTTTTGCTTTGATAAATAGAAGTAGGCAGCTGGTGTAATAATTAGAGACCTAAAAGAACATCTACGACTACGTGAAAAATTCCGCCCTTCTTATGAATAGAATAGCAGTGGTTGTGGATCTGTAACGTCTGAAAACGTTTATCTGGACATAACTCTAACACTATCAAAAAACAATTGCAAAACAGTTACTTTTCGACTTTTTCCAAAACATAATAGTAAATATAGTAGTTGGAGAAATACCAAGAGAAGAAATGTCTCAACAATATTGTTTTTGG